ATGCTACTTCTGCTCTGCCAAGATCCTCTCTTATTTTCTAGTCCCTTTCAGGGCACTTTGTTCTGATACAGCACTCTTAAGAGGCATTTTTATGGCTGTAAATGGGATGATATAATGCTTTGAAGCAGTGAAGAATATCAGATGGTTCTACCAAATGTCATGTGTGAATGGGGTGGTGGTGTGAAAATCGCTTATGGCGTTGTAGAGTCTGATGCACGAGGGCTCCTATTGCTTGGTCCATTCCCTGTTTATACAAACAAGGAAGAAATGCACGTATGTGACTGCCTTCTGTGGAGTTTATTCTACTTGAAGGGTCTTCCATGACAGCCCAAATGGGGTTTTTTCAGCCCACCTAAAGCGCACTTAGAGTTTGAAGTGAGATGTTTTCGCTCCTGTGCTACATTAGCTGTGCCTACCAGACTGTAAAGATGCACTCTATTGCCATTCTTCTTTGCATCTGTGACGCTTTACAGACTGAGGAAATTGAAAACTCCCTCCCCCAAATGCCAAGTTTTGATCCATTTCAGACATAAAACTTTCCAGAATACAGATTAGTGGGGAAAAGCTTGTTAAAAGGTAAGTGTAGTTGGATATAAATTGGTAAAAATAACTGATTAATTGCCTGCTTGATAATCTGTGTGCAAAAAACCAAACCACAAAAGGTCTCCCTGTTACAGCTGAGTCTTGCCATGTTTCAGATACCTTGAAATAAATCCATGTGCACTGATGGCTGTGGCTATGAGCCAGAGCCCCTGGACAGCGAGCACCCCAATATTGGAGTTGCTGCTTGGTTGCTTCCCTGATAGACAATAAGGTGGAATCCATCAGTGCTGAAAAGTAATAAAAGCAAAGATTGTCATGAATCTTTAATAAAAAACAATTGTGGAGTATTCTGCTGATGGAAAACCTAAGGCAGTTGAGCTGACCTTGCCTCTATGCCAGCAGGGGAAATGGGCTGTCCACGAGGCTTGTGGCTGTGCAGTATTGGCTGATTTTCAGTGTGGTGGAAGGTCTTAGTGGCTACAGGGTTTTGCTGTGATGAATTAATATTTGTAAGCTTCCTTTGATGCAAGTGTACTGCTTTTCTGTGAAAACACACTTTTTAATATTAAAGCAATATATTATTATTATTATATTATTTGCTCCTTCTTTACATGGGAAATTTTCAAAGTAATATCTGAGAAAATTAACTTCACTGCATGTATGATAGAAAGACTGGCTTTTACTTCTGAAATTGTAAATTCCATTTTGCATTTTTCAATCTGTTACTCAGACCATATAGGAAAAACAATTTGCTTAATTTAATCATGACTATGATATACAACCTGATAGTAATTTTTTCTCTTTTAACTATCATTCACTATGATATTTAGGTCCTAGGCTGTGGGGAATTAGTCCAGTTCCTGTTTACTTTGAGTATTAAAAAAAAACAAATCCCAACCCCAAAAGCCAGCTATTCTACATAGTTTGAGGCTGTGGTAAAACATCAATTTCAAGACATTGATTAATGTGCTTTTAGTAACTCAATATTGAATTCTTCTTTAAATCCATACATCATTCCAACTTAAACATGAAGTCAACTAGCATGGTAATTATTTTAATTGCTATTGCGTACAAGAATCCAGTAGAGTTATTAACTGGATTCAGGTATAGAACTAATAAGTTGGAACAAGCTTTTGGGGTTTATTTGCTATTGCAGACTAATGTAGAGGTTACTTAAATGTTTCTGGTTTTCCTGTAAATGTTGCAGTGTGTAGATGATCTTTGAAATTAAATGTATTTTAAAATTAGCAACCTCAGGAAATGTAGTTTAGAACTGACCATTTTTCAAGTGTCTATTCAATGAAAGCAGACAGACACAGTCTCTCTTTGACACAGCTGAGTTGCCTCTTTGGAGGCAGAAGGGAAATACAGCTAATAATGACCTTTCGTTTCTCCTCAGAAAGAGAGATTTGTCAGGAGGCAGCTAGGCCAGCTGGGAATGGGAGCCCTTCCCCTGGTAGGCAGTGGCTCACTTTGAGACTGCATGAGGAGCTAGAAAGTCATGGACAACACCATGAGGGACGCAAGAATAGTGGTCAGCACACCAGGTGAAATAGTCATCCCATTCTGTCCTGTCATTCATGCCCTCCCTGCCTGTCTTCTGCTAAAGCAACAAAAGAATGTACACGAGAATTGTAGGAGGTGTTTTTCTTACTGGCTTTTTAAAGCACATAGGAAGAAATGGTAAGTGGTCCATGGCTCTGTCAGACTCCCAGCACAGTTCATTCAGCAGCTGTCTTGTCTCCATTGTGTGTCCTGCACAGGCAACCCCTTGTTGGGGAATTAAGGCCCACAGTCTGCCTCATTCTCTTTGTTTACTCTGTTTTTTGAAGGTCCTGGAGTTTCTTGTGCATAGGATCAGCTTTTCTTCCATGTCTGACCCTAAACCCTTTCCCAGGTGACGTAAGGCAGTTTGTGTGGTTAGATGGTATTGCATGCTTGGTTGCATAAGGGATATCTTGCTGCCCTGAGCCTGCTGCTGTGACCTGCCTGGGTGAAAAGCCTGAAGTCACTGGCTTAGGAAGTCTTCTGGGCAGAAAATCAGCCTATAACAAAACTGAGGTGCATGGTGGCTTGACATCCTGGTTGTTTGGATGCTTCTTGTTTTTAATATAACTTATTTTCAAATTATGATATTTTGGTAGATGATTTTTTCCCAGATTAACTAGTCCTCAAAATGCTTCTATGGTTTCTTGTCCCCTGGGTTTAAGTAGAAAAGGTTCTCATATTTTGGGTAACAAAAATGACATCCTGGTCCCCTCTGAAAAGGGGAAGACCAGCCTACAAGCCAGCCTTGGTAATTGCTTCCTTCTTCCTGTACCTATTTAAGCATATGTGTCATTGTATCTAAGAGCAGGCACCCCTTCTTTCCCTGCCTGTTCGCTGTTCTGGCTTTTTCCTTTCTGCAGGGACGATGCAGTTGGTTTCATTAAGTCCCAGAAAATTTGCAAAGTTCATTTTGGGGGGACTGCAGAAACCACTTGGACTGATTCTCTCTCAAATGGGTTTGGCACCCAGCTCACAAATATTTGTCTTCCTCAAAGTAGAATAAAGCTTATTTGGTGTGTATGTAGGCATGATAAGAAATGCAGTTTTTCCCATCAGTCACTGTCCTTCCAGGGACTGTGGTGCAGTTTTGTCTGAAGCTTGGTATATTTCCATGGTAGTTTTGAGTTGTTTTGTTTACTACAGGGCACACACAGCAAAAATGTTTGATTATTTTAAGTTTTAGCTTACAATACTTGGAATGCTTCTGAGTAGTCTGCTGCCCTAATTTACGAAATAGCATTCCCCACCTAATTTTTTCCTATTTTTCTTGCTTAGCTCTGTGAAAATCATAGTTTCAACAATTTGGCTATTAACTCTTTCTCTACAAGATTCATATTTTCTTCTCACCACAGAGTAGGAATGCATCTGGTCAGCCTCAGGTGATGATCTACAGTAGTGCTTCCCACACTGTAATTGCAGTAAATTAAAATCACCCACCACTTACAGCTTCTGTTATCTTCAAGAGGGCTTTGAAATTCTTTGCAAGAGGTGCTTGGTTTCATTTTTTCTTTTATTTTCTTACTGAGCTCTCACAACAGGCTTTCTTCTGTGTCTGTGCATTGAATGCTGCTTCTAGGCCAGAGAGACTCCAGACTGGTAAAGTAGAAGAGGGGCCAATTTGTGTCATAGATGCTGATTGATCGCCTGTCCCTTTGGGCATCCTTGTAATGGCCTCCCAAAAGAAAGACCTACTGTATTGGGTGGAAAACTGGAGGAGCCATTGTGTATTCAGCAGTGTGCAGCATTTGTGACTATGGACAACAACACAGACACTCTTAGAAAGAAAAGCACTGAGGGCAGAATTAGGCAGTCCTGTTCTATGACCTCCCCAAAAAGGGGGCTTTGGTTTTCACATATGGGGCTAGTGGGAACAGGGAAGGGAGATTCCTGTCTTGTGCTCGCTGAGGCTTTTAATTTTTAAGTTAAATTTCCTATGTCTTCCAAGTGTGAAGATTCTAACTTACTTAACGAGCCTGCATGTATTGGGAGGAGGGCATGGAGCAGGAGTGGCTGGGCTTCGTGCCAAGGATTCAGTTCTGCTCTCAAGCCTAGTGCAGAAAAGGTTTGTTTTGCTTGATAACTTGTCAAAGGCACTGACTGAGCATTGTCTGACTGCATGTACCTGAATCTCAGTTCTTACACCATCAGAGTAGACAACTGTCTCTACAGATCTGCCTAAGCTGGCTCTACCAATTGCAGTTCTCAGCATTTTGGTGTATAATTCATAGGCCTCTCCAGTCTCTCATTCCTGCAGATTCAGGGTCACTGGAACGATTCTCCATATGGCCAAAGGCTTAGTCCTTTCTGATAAACCCCAAATATTTGAACTGTGCTCTTGAAGGAATCAGACTGACTGCAGGTCTTTGACCCGAAGTCCGGGATAGCATCCTATGTACCAAAATGGTGGGGGTAGAATAAGGCTGTAAATAAGAAGATGAATAGCTGCAGATGCTGAGTTCATTCTCCTTGACATTTATACACGTATCCTTGGTTCAGAAGAAAAGATCTGTCAAGCATGCAGAATATGCTGTGGTGCAATTTGCACACTCTGAGGGCAAATGAGAAATAAAAAGCAAACTAGATCTAATGAAAACTGAGATGCTCCCTCCTTGATATCAGCTACTTCCTAGCTGTGCCCACCTGACAGTGAGCATCAGTCCTAGCGCTGCAGCTGCTTAGTATTCATCTTGGGTTACTTCTGGGTACATGATTCAGAATCTGCCAAAGTGCTTCCTAGACAGGGAAGGAAACTGAACAAGTGCTTTCCTGAATTTGAATCAGTTTATTAGTGCAGATTTTTATTGTTTGCATTCTAGTATGAAGCAGTGCTTTTCCATTAGTTTTTGTTTTTGCATTTTCCCTACATTTCCAAAACTAACCTCTCCTTTTTTTTTCTTCCTTTTTTTCAGGAAAAGAGGCGTAGAAGTAGTGCAGGTGAGTAAAAGCTCTATACTTGTAAAGAAGGCTTACTGATTTTAAATGCTGTCATTTGGATGCCAGTATGACCTGGGCTTAATGATTTTTCCATTCAGTTCTTTATGACAGGTACGGCTTTTGGAAAGACAGGATTCCCCTTTTATGAAGCATATGTTCAGCCCATATGCAGTCCAGCTTAATAGGTGCCCTAGAGAAAGTGGGAATGCAGTTAGGCTTTTCTTGTGTCTGTCAGTTAATAAGTTCTGATAGTTGATTAGGTGATGTTACTCTTTTAATTGCATTCTCTGAATACAATTAACAGAAACAGGATCTGCCCTTTGAGAAAAAAAGCTATGGCAGAAGGAATGTTCTTGTAACCCAGTGAGAAGTGAAATGATACTAAAGTGCTTTCAAGTTGTGGCCCATCTACAGATAAGTTCAGGTGTTGGCTACATTTGTTCTTTCCCAGGTCAGAATGGTCATATTTCACATAAGATGTTACTTAAAGGATGGTGTCAGCTTGTGAAAGGAATTATGTTACATGTCAGCTGTAACATAGAGCACTATAAGCCCTAAAAGATGAAGGGGAAGCATGCTCTTTTCTGGCTTATTTTGTGCACTTAGAAGAGCTTTATGTCATAGGTTTCACTCTTGCTGATACTTACCCGGTGCTCATTTTAAACTCTGAAGTGTTGAGTTCCTCACTGCCTCAAAAGAGGGGACAGAGGAGAGAGGAGGAAAGTGGTGTGTTAACCATGGGTAATTAAGGTTGCTCTGAAGTCCATGTGGAAGGTGCTTCTCAACACCAGCAGGGAGCAGGAGAAAAGCACTTAACAAAAAATAAATTGAAAAATCAGGCCATGTTATTTAAAAGAATCTGCAGTCAGAAAAGACTTAAAAGCTTCTTGTTGCTAGTTAAAATGGAGAGTATGTCTTTCAGTTATGGGTGGTCATCTGAGAACTGCATTGTGTTAGAAGGACAAAGGGCATGTACTTTACTGGCTGTATTTAACATTTCAGCACTACAGCATCATCTTCCTTTCCTGTACTTACTATTGCTCAGAGCTAAGGGGCAGTTTCTTTCATCAATTTTGATAATGGTGTTACCAGACTGCTAAAAACAAACCAGCATTTACAAAGCACAGCTTGATCAGGAGTACAGGGAGAAAGCTAGCCCATATTTGTGTCACTGTCTAGGGGACATTATTATTTTATTAATACCACAGTGTATTACAGTCCAATGCCTGCATTTGTTATATGTGCCTTGCACTGTACATTTATGCAGCCAAGGTCTCATATGAGATTAATTCAGTGAGGCATCCCTTAGTTGAGCAGAGGGCAGATTCCATTTTACTTCATGGATTAAAGTTACTGTCCTTCCACAGGTTTGTGTAGCTTAATGGCTAGTCATCAGACACAGAATTATTGGAAGGTATTTATTTAAGAGCATTTTGGGAAACATTTGGACAGAATTAGACAGGACTTTGTCCCCATAAAAATACTTTATGGTTTCAAATTCAACAGCATGGTTGAGATGTCACACTAATCTGTACTGGGAATTTGTGCCCCAAAGGCATATCTCAATCTCTGGTGTCTGCTGCTCTGCTGGAACAGGATGGATAGAAGTGTGTGGTCACCCTTTGCCTGTCACTTGCATGTTGCTTCATATATCCTGATGCATGTGCTTCAGCCAGTAGGGAAAGTATCAGAAATGGGCTCTTGCTTCACCCCTTATTGCTAAAACCTTTGCTTGGGGCCCCTTGCATGATTGATCCCCCTAGCCCTGCTTCTAGATGAAGGATTATCTTGGTGTCCATCTGATGCACAAGGTTTATTTGGCAGAGGGAATATTGTCTTCCCTGTGTCAAGCAGCAGCATTTCTTTGATTTGCTTCCCCTTTTCCTTTAAAGAACCTATTCTGATAGAGAGAAAGCAGCTTTTAGATCTGACAGTAAGCACATAAATAAATAAATCGAAACCCAAGATACACAGGATGTTTACCTACTTTATTCTTTACATAAATTCAGAATTTTTCTGAAGTACACTTGCTTTCCAATAAGAAGTTTGGGTTGGAAGGTAAGGTTTAGTTAACTGGCTTCTAGAGAGCAAAGCACGAGGGACTAGTATGTGCTGACTTACGTGATACAGCAGATTGTTCTTTTCCAAAGATGTTTCACAGGAGCAGGAAAGGATTTTCTACTACTAAAGGGAAGTCTTGGAAGTCTTCAAATAAGCACCTGTGTGACTGCTGTTTCCTTCCTGCAGGGAGGATTTAGGATAGTCCTCTCTAATTTCGCTAGACAGATTAAATTCTTTTATTTTGCTTTCTTAGAGCTAATTGTGCTGTACAGATTCAGTGAGCTGCTGCTAGAGAGCAATTAACATTTCATGACTTGTGTTCAGGTTTTGTCTTTTGTCTTCTCTCAGACTTCCACTTTCAGCAGAGAGAGTGGTTCCAGCTTTCTAATTTTATTGAGTAGGGAAACATGCACATCCTCCAAAGAGAAATAAAGCAAGAACAGGACAGGCAGTGGGATGCTAAGCAGGCATTCTCCTTTATCTAGCAGGAGGACCTTAATTAAACCATCACATTGAAAACAAACAGAAAACCTGTCAACTTGTGTGGTGATAAATAATTGGGGTTTTTAAGAAATACTGATTGATTTCTAACATAAAAAGAATTCACTGTGAACTCAAGGTACAAGAGCTGAAATGTGCAACTTTATGTAGTACAACTGAGTAGCATCCGTCAAGCTTGCTGGCTTAGAAGATGGCACAGTAGATTAATTAAATAAAAAGCTTTCAAGGTTATGAACTTTCCAAAGACAGTATGAGTCTGAGCGTGACCCAAACATTTGGGAGCCTGAACAGGATTAGCTCATTTCTGTTTTTCTGGTGGGCATGGCAGAACTCTGAGTAGAAGCATGCTTAAAATCTGGCAATATTTTGGATCTAGATTTGCTTTCTGCAGCTGAAATCCAAGTCAGTGGGGCAGCTGCAAACCAGTGTTATATTACAAAGAAAAAGCCAAAAAAGCGATTCACTAGCTTTTCAAGATGGGGTCTTAACAGAATACTGTGCTGCATCTTTCACCTTATTATGGGGCATTTGCTTTTTTTTTTAAGCAGGTATCACTTGAGTATCAGGGTGCTTTTTGAATTGGGGTGCTTACTTGTTCGTACCCCATAAGGTAAGGAAGAACTCTTGTTCCAGTTTTGCAGGAGGAGAGATGTGTCCCACTTCTCCCAGGGAACCTGTTGCAGTACCAGCCCCAGTGCTGCTGGGGTTCGTGCTGCAAACCTGTGCTGCAGGAATTTCAGCTGCAACTGTCTGGGAAGGGGTGTGGGGCAATTAGCTTGTGGTGTTGTGTGTGCATGAAGGCAAGAGCAATTAAAGGTGGTCAGCAGGGCTGGGGTTGCTGGCTCTCTTCCAGTGAAAGGCGGCACCAATTCCACTGTGTTTAATCTTTGGGCTGCATTTAAAGTGTTCTGAATGAAATGCTCTTGTGGTTCCTGTGGCTGTTCCATACCTTCTCCTTTCTTACCAGTTCTTCCCACCCTTCGCAGCTGCCTGCTCAGCTGGTGTGGCTTGAGCTGGTGGCCAGAGGAGGGTAGAGATGCCCTGAACAGGTGACAGACATGACCAAAGCCCATCTGCCATGGCCTGCAGGCAGTTGCTAGGCAGGCAGCAGCTGGCAAGGCTGAGGCAGAACAGCTCTTGTGCTGGCATTGGGGTGACTTGCCAGAAAATGCTTAAACTGAAGCATTTCTTAATAAATTCTTTCATTACTGTTTCAAGGGGAAGACTGCTTATGAAGCTATGCAGTGGATGGTTGATGAGGTGTTTATCATTAAAAAAAGCTATTTTCTGTAATGGCATCTAGCAAATAAGGGTTTTGTGTAGTGTCTTAAAAGTAGAGTTGGCTTCTGATCTTGTTCAGTTTCCAGCCTGCCATCGCTCAAATTGGTGGAGGGCAAAATTTAAGATTGAAAATTGTCAGTTCTTCTTTAGCTAGTGAAGTAGCCACTTCCTTATGACTGTACTCTGGCAAGGGAGAGAAAGAACATCTACCTTGTTTTTCAGGAAAAATCTGTTGGCTTAGTTTGAAGAATGAAAGAGTGAAAACATGTGCACTGAAGTGGAAATCATCACAAGTACCTCTGATAGAGACATGCATTTATTTTTGTTTCACAAGCTATGCAAAACCAGAATAATTAGCTGCAGCCCTTTGGCTTCTGACAAATTGCCAGTTTGGTTTTTGTGTCAGAGTTTGGAGCCTTCGTATTTCTCGTGACTTCAAAGCTGTTTCAAGTACTTCCACACCCAAACTTTCCTTGGGCTCTTGCTCACATTTTAAAATTCTAAAATAGTGAAGAATCCCTGTTTTTGGGTGGGTGTTTCTGGATCAAATGAGCACTAATGCTCTTCTATCTTAGAAGGATGTTCTAGTCAGTTGGCTATAAAAGTGGGATTAGTTGTATTTCAAACTGTATGCTTGTAATAGCAGTGGGATATGAAGGAGAGCATGTTTTCTGATGTGGAACAGCTGATTGTAGTAGTTACAATAGTCTCGACTGCTGTCTTGTTTTTCCCTCAACTTTATGGGAATAGAGATATTTGAAATCTTTTACTTTGGAAAAGAAGATTGTTCTTTGAGACATGGGTTTTCTTGAAGCCTGCAAAGGAGAATTCAGGGTGCCCTCCACACTATTTAATTCTTCAATCAAAGTGAAATACTAATGACCATGATTTCTATTATTTGTTGCCAGGGAGCCTGTAGTTTTCTAGATATGAGGAGAGGTTTATTTTCACATGAAGTATTAATGGAATAAGCTTGAAACAGCAGTGTTCTAACCAAGAAAAGGAGCTTGTAAAATATGTATTTGGTAGCATATACAGAAAGATGTGACTGGAAAGCTTCCAAAGCAAGCAAGGTTGTTGAGATGTTGGAGAGTTGGCTCTCTAGTACTGGGAGGAGAAAGTTTATTTTTACATGCATGCCAGGCCTTCAGTAAACT